TTTGAGAGTTTAAGTTAGACCCTTAACAATAGCTTAACATTGGGGGTTTTTCCTCCTTTTTTTTTTTTCAATTTAGTCTAAGATGCTCAAAGTGATCTAAAGGATTAGGATGTGCAAGTCCCATTACCTGTAAGAGCAGTACTTCAAATTGTCAGAGGAGCTTTACAGCCAGGGTTAACCCAACTTGCGCTGTATGTGAAGAGGCACTGCAGCAAAGCATGGTAACGCTCCAGCAATGATTGAAGTTGCTAGTTGCCACCCAGCCTGTCATGCTTGAACTTGGTAAGGTCCTCCAACCTTGTTCAACAGTGCTTGTTGTAAGGGGGTGTTCACTTGTAGTGAAATCACGTAAATCACATAATTCTATAGATTTCCGTGAAGAGAGGTGTCAGCTGGACTGGTGTAAACAAAGCGTGATGGCTAATTAGCAATGTCTCACCCATATAAATCCAGACTTAATGAATCTAGAACCTGACTCTAAAGACGCTTCAGATGGTATCAATAAAGGAGAAAGGAGAAAAGCCTAAGGCGCTTCCATGCTAATGTAAGAATATTAGCTCTCCCTGCTTGCAGCTAGAGAGAATTAATTTACAAAAGTATTTGAATGTTTATGATATTTTTTCCCAATGCCATGTATTCAAAAATCAGGAGCTAAGCCTCAAAAAGAACGAGGAGGTGTAATCCAAATAAAAATAAATATCTGTATCTTACTATTGTGCTATAAAATTAAGCCATTAAATGACACTGGGGACTGGGGTCTCCTGAGGCTTCTCTAAAAAAGCGTGTGTCTTAAAATGGGAAACAGATTCCTGTGAAATAGCAGAGCTCCAGGTGTCAGGGCATTAAGGAAACCAGTAAGTGTGCTTGCTTGCAAGAGTTTTACACCAGAAGAAAACTGGTAATGTTGTCTCCAGTACTCTCCTCTGGCTAAGGAACCTGTTTTGCTATCCTGTCCGTGCCACAACTGCTCGAGGAGTGAAGAGCAGCTTGGAGGGAGGAGGAGATGCACAGTCTGTGTGCAGGAGGCACCCGCGGCCTCTTGAGGCTGGACCGTCACTTGTGCCAATGCAAATCTCCTGGAAACCTGAGCATCAATTTTACCAAGAAGGGACAGGAAAATGCTAACTAGGAGTCTACAGTTACCAAAATGATTTTATAATATGAAATGTCCGTACTTAGAATTAAAACAATTTTTTAACTATTAGCAAATTTGACATATTCAAAAAAAGGAAAAAGAAGTTGCTGAAAGGCCAATAATTCATATACTTCATGAATTTGCTGGCTCTGTGAGATCCAACAGATTAACTCAGCAAGTCAAAAGTCCTTCTGCATGAGTCAGGATTTGATTCAGAAACTGATTTTTTAAGACTGCTAATGCACTCATCACCACCTCAAAGCACTACTAAATCACTGTCTGCTCACTGTAATTTGGGCCAAATATAAGAACAAGGCAATAAGTTAATGTCTTTTAATAACACCATAGTTTATGTCACTGCCTTAAAAAGCTCTATGGAGTTTTAAACTTTTTAAACATGCCATGGAAAACAGACTGACCTAAAGCCACAGAGAAACAACAAAACAAACTCTTCTGTGAGCTGTGGCTACAGTCTTTTGTCTTCTGCATTTGGGTACACATAAGGATCCTTCTCCTAGATCGCCATCCACATCCAATGGGAAAGAGAAAAGTCCCACGAGGGGTGCACCGGGAACTCAGCTAACAAGAGCTATGTTAGCACTGGCAGTATCAGCAGAAGCACAGGGAGGAAGTTTAGGAGAGTATTTGGAATCCAAATTCATGGGAGAGAGGTTTTTGGTTTATTTTAACTGCAGTCCACTAGTGCATGCCACCTACCCTGAGGGAAATCATAGCCAAGATAACGCACCCGTATTTTCCATAGGGTCAGCTCACAGGGCTCAAGTAGGAAAACTCTACTGACCTCAGCAAATTTGCAAGAGGATTATAGAAGTCCCTCATCTTCGTGATGCTGTGACTTAGGTAACTGAAGTGAATTGTTTGAGCCAAGCCAGAAAACGTAACGTACTTTCTGTAGTGAAAACAACTCCAAGAAGTAGGTATTTTAGGCAGTGAAATTACACCTGCCATTGCACGTGATTTGGAGGAAATAAATACACAACTCATCCACTAAAAAAGTCTTTGCATCATTTCTGAAGCACAGGTACCAGGTATAGATGGAAAAAATCCACCCCAGATGGGGCAGATCTGGCTCCTGGTTGCCCTCTCTTCACACCATCCCTGAACTGTATCTGAGAAGAGAAGCACTACAAACAGTTATCAATCACAGATTATTTGAATTATGCTCAGCCCAAGGAAATTGCATTCCAAAAAAGACAAACCCCACCCCAACAGGGAAAGGAGACCCCGTGTTTCAGGGCAGCTCTGCCGGATGCACAGCTCCACATCTACTCTGCAGCCAAAGCCTCAGTGACCACCAACCCCACTCCTCTGCCTTCCTACCTGTGCAGTGAAAGACTCAACCTCTCCTCAATGTATCTCCTGATTAGAAGGCATATTCCATCAATGCACTTTTAAAAAAGTAATTCTACCCTAAGGAAGGATTGTGTCTACTATGTTTGTTTGCTTGCTTTTTCATATAGTCGCCACTGGCAATGTCACTTGAAGTGCAGGTACCAAAAGCAAGCCGTGCCTCCGATCTGTCCAACAACCTATGATGCGGGTATAAAATATAATTATGAAAAACAAAAGAACTCATTGATTCCCTCAAGCAATCGCACAAAAAATCTCCACCTAAATAAAAAAATAAAATTGCCAGGACCTCAAATACCTTTCCACCAGTAAGCCACAGTACAGAACAGAGCCTGGGAACCTCCCGCAATAACAACAGCCAGCAGGACAATTTGGCCTTTTTAAAGGAAAAAGGACATTCTGAAGATTAAAAGCTTGACATGGAAAAGTCTGAGTTCCCCCTACCCCAACTACCTTTGTGGGAGAGGCTGGTTCCCAAACCCTTCAAAATGAGACCGTAAATCTTCTACTTTTTATGTGTACTCACGTAGTATCTGTGTCATTATTACGCAGAACGGTAGCTGCTTAAGCACTGCCTAAATGCACTGCATTGCCCAAGAGAAAAGTCAGAGCCAGCCGCAGCCCCAAGGTGTCTACACGTGTTTGAAATCCTTAATGAAGCTGCCAGACAGCGCAGAGAAGACTGACAGATGTTCCTGGTGGCATAGCAAGAATGGTTAATCCGACAGGGAGACAAATATGCGAGACATGGAAACCTAATGATATCACTGTCCAAGCGACCTCAGCATTCTAGATGTGCAAATTGCTGCAAGACTATGCCTTTCACCAAAGTAACGATTCCAGTAAGAATATATCTCAACAGAGGAAAATGTTACAAAATACCCAGGCAGGCGAAATCCATACGAAAAGAGGACAAGCGACAGGGTCTATCCTGCTTACCAAAATTAGTCCGCCCTTATAAAAATTGATTGAAAATGGCAAAAATCAGTTTGTTATAATAAACTCTAGCACCCTGTGGGAAAGGAAGTCAAACTGTTGATCTGGTCTTGCAAACCTTTTCCTCTCCAGGCAGTTAGAGTGAAGTTAATGAAATTGCTCAAGGAAGAGAGGACAGCTCACCCAGGGAAGAGTTTGCAGTGTCAGTGCCCAGAGAGATGTTTATGAGGGATAGATGGTATTTTTAGACCTGAAAATTATTATAATAAACTTTTGTGTCTCTATGCTCTACAGTGAGTTGACCTGTTTATAGCTGAAAACTGTTTTACCACTTGCAACCAAATTACAGGTATTCTAGTATTTCAGGCAGAAACAGTGGCGGCCATCATTGCTAGCCACACTGAATGATGACAAATATCCCTGCAAATTTATCCTCATTAGCGCTGTTCTAAATTGTCTATTTGCAACAGTCTCTTTGCTGACACTTTCTTGAAGCAATTTATTCTGAGAGTCAGCATTGGAGAGTCCACTTTCTGTGATGATGTGTGATGGCATGACTAATTATAAGCTGTTGGTATCTACATGGGAACCAAAAGAGCCCCATCAAAAAGTGAAATTAAACTAGTATTTACGTCTCACAGCAGAAAGACCACTCAACCGCAATTCAGCAAGATTATAAACAGTTCTAAGACACTTCTATGCATAGGCGAAAGGTTTTTCACAGGAGGGATTTCCTCTAATGCAGAGAAAGTTACTAACGTAAAAGCGATACTGCCTAATATCTACTATTTTAATTTTGATAATACAACATTTGGATATTTTGGGTGCTCTTTCAATTAAACTATATTTTTCTAATTTAGAATTTTTCTGATTTATCATTTCATATATAGTAGTTAGCATTTGGATGCCAGTATCTTATCAAGCTCCTAGTCCAGAGCGATGTGATATTATAGGAACTAGAAGGTGCACATAGCCAGTATTATGATGTTTGTAACACAGTAGAAGAGTTGCTTTCTCTTCAAGGGGAAGAGGTGGGGGATTTCTGTCTTGAAAACGGTACAGATGTTAAAAAATAACAGGAAAGGAACAAAATATTATATAAGTCAAAACACTTCACAAAAGTTTCATCACCGAGTACTGCGATTCTGAAGGCTGTAAGGCATAGCACCCCAGACACCTTGAATCAATTTGATACGCTTATGCCCAAGGAACAGACATTATGCCGGACAGGCTGCAGTCACTCACACTAGCACCAAATCCTGCTCACCTCCCCGCTGGGAAGAGACCCATGGAACCAGGCAGCACACCCTGCGTGACTAAGGCTCATAGGAGCCGGTCGTAGTGAAGCGACGGACTTCACTGTAACGTGAGCAAATGTAGAGATGCATTCTACAGCTAAACCACATAAGACACACGGTATGATGCTAGGTAACCAAAATGTACGGCCAGAGGATAGGAGACAGGTTGTTCAGGAAAAGAAAAGGCTAATGGGATTCTTGGCTGCACTAAAAAGAACCCTTTATGCCACAGAACAAGCCCCAGTGAAACTGTATCTGGCCTATCGTCTCCGTTCGGGGCTGTAATCCCGCAGCGGCACACAGCCCCCACTTGCTGCAACACCCCGACCGCCCCTGCCGCAGGTTTGCCGTGGGACATCCCTCCTGGCAGCACCCCTCAAGCTCTGCGACTGCAGCTCCCGACTTGGCGCAAGGAGAGCATCTTCAAAAACCCACATTGTTGGCCCCCGCTGAATCATACCCAGTTTGGGAACTTCCCACAGAAGCAAATGGGGAACTGAGGAAAAAAACTGGATACAGGTTTAACTGCATTCACTCCCATGGTTTTGTTCCTGACACCATCCAAAAGGGACTGGCTGTTCACCCCCTTCCTGGGACCAGGAGCCAACACAGCATTCCACTGCTGCCCCTTCTCCTCCTCTGAACCAAGGTGGATTCCAATGGTGGCAGCGAGCTGCCATCTTCCCACTGTAAGGGCTGAGGGTCTGCTCAGAGGCATCACCCAGATTTTCAACACAGGCCGGCAGTAATTTATTGGGTGAAAACTGCACAGGTGCCAGTGTATTTTCCACATAAGCTTTAAAAGAATAAAGGCAGTGAAGACCTGAACTCCGGGGATATATTAAGAGTGGTAAGAAGCAAAGACCGCTCCCGAAATCCTCAGCAGAGCTCAGAGGGAGCGTCTGAAGCAGACAGGAGGGGGGCAGAGCCCCAGCAAGGGGGGGCAATCCCAGCACTTAACAACCCATACACTTCCCCTTCAGCCAGGGCAGCACTCGGGAGCCCCGCTCCTGGTTGAACTCACGCCTGGAACGAAATGTTTTAAGTAATTCAAGTAAATAATCATGCCGTATGGAATAGATACATATGGTCTACAGATACAACCTCATCTGAAAATGAAGTCATTAAAGTAATGTAACAGTGAATGTAAGACAAGGTATATTTACAATGGTAAACGAAGCAGTATTATCGTGTCTTCAGTGCTCTGGCCTCGATTTCTGTTATACAATGACATATCTTTTTGCAGCAGATAGGAACAAAATAAAAAAAGTCCCAACTGAGAACACGCTCCCACAGGCAGGTGACTGCAATCTTTCAGGCTAAAACACATTTATTGTGAGATCCTGGAGAAACTTATAGTTCATCCACGGTTTTGTTGCTGTGACTACACAAGGTCTTGAGCTCCTTTTCTGTAAGTTCAGCCTACCTCAGGGCATTCAACACGTTAATTCTGCTGGGGCCAGATGAGTGACGCCCTAGAGAAGATACGATCTGGCTACTACTGATGAAAGACTCATTAAAATTTTCTTGCTGTGGACACACAAGCGCAAGAACAATATGAGTGACCTTATACCTCTGCAAACGGTCAACCACCAAATCCCCACTGCCGTGCACGACCCTTGTACCAGAGCTAGAGAAAACAAATTTAATGAGACCGTAGCTGCAAGGAAATACTCCTGAAACTTAAAAACCTTCCAACGTTTCCCTCATTGCGAGGCAGAGGGATTTGCTTTCCTGCAGAACAAGCCTCCGCTTCATCTGCCTTGTATCAGATAACCTTTTACATCCCGATTCCCTGAGTTTTGTCTTCTCCGGGAGCTGTGAAAATTCCTCCAGCGCAGTGGCTGCGGTCAAAGATCGCATTTACAAGCGGAGCGCGATGCCGCCGGTAGCCACAGTAACCAGGCCCCCCGCGCCCCGCCGGCCCCTCCGGTTGATCAGTAACTCGGGGACAATGGCACGCACCCAGCGCGCCCGCCAGGTCCCTAACACCAGCCGTGAATGAGGGATGAAAGGCTGCAGCACGAAACAAACTTGGGAAAAGCGGACCAGGAAAATTGCCAAGCTGAAACTGCAGCTGGAGAGGCACCTGTAGCTGGTGTGAGTTGCCGTAAAGCAAATATTAAAGCAAATTTCTCCAAATGCTTTTATTATTTTTCCTAAAGGATTTTTGAATGAGCTTTTACAGCAATTTCTCACGTCGAGAATAACATGCAAGAGGAACTTCAGCCATGAAACTCTGAATTGGATCCAGATTTTGGTCCTCCTTAACTTTAGGGCTTTCAAGAAGAAAGGGCAGACAAAAAAATTGTTCATAACATTGTTTCAACCGCAGTTCACCTGTAGCAACTGCTTTGACAAGCACAACTCCTAGTCCGACCATGTTGTGCTGCTTTAAAAATCTATTACCAAACATATTTCAATTAGCCCAGGAATATTTCTTAAGTATTTAAAATCAGTGGATTATGTGAATGGAAAAACTGTTCCGTGAAAGCAGTAAGCCAGCGCCTGCTGCAGCATCCCAAGAGCAAGAGGAGGCAGACACTGGGCGAGCACGGCTGTGTGCTGAAATGACAAAACCCATCTCTCACTATCGAAGGTCTTGCGGCCTTGGTGACCCTCCTGTGGGTTTTCCTCACCTGACGAGACCCCGTGGACTTGCTCCAGGATACAACCTGACACCTAGGCAAGGATGGACAACCAGGAAACGCAGTGTCGAGCACTTATCACCCTCCTCCAGGCTGCCAAGGCAGCACAGGGACATGAAGTAGACATGGCAGTGCAGTAGGAACTGTAGGGTGAAAGAGCGGGGGCTGACAACCTCTCTGTAGGCATTTCAGGGGTTCCTAGTCTCGCCTGCCCTGGTTCAGCCCCGAGGACTGGCTGACAGAAGTTAGACTGTATCCTCTAGACTAGCTTCATCTGGAAGGAGACCAGCATTTGTGCACCCAAGCGACTGAACGATGCACATCCAAGTGGAGTAAGTGGGAATGACCAGCCGATCTGCTTCAAAAGCACGCTTGTGATCTGAACTAACAGTGGATGTGTCTACATTACCGTTTGAGACAGATTTAAACCACACCACAGTTTCTCCCAGTTCTCTGGATTCCATGGTGCAATATAAAAAACAGCCTCTGTTTCTCGCTCAGCCGGATTTTCCCATGCTCACAAACCCCAAAGTCACTATTTTGGAACTGATGAACTCTCATGCATGGGATGAAAGTAAAATAAATGGCTCCCAGGTCCTGCTCCTTTCAAGTCGATTGCAGAAGTCCCTTTGACTTCAGAGAGAACAATGCAAACAATAATAGGTTCTCATTAGGCCCTGTTCCCAGCGGGGCTTTGGGTACTTCCAGAAATAACAAGATCTTCCCAAAGGTCTCTTTCTTTGTCTCTTTCTTTAATCCCAACAGGATTGGAATTTGGGGTTAATTTTGTTGCAGGAGTAGGCATTGAAATCCAGTGCAGCTCACATCAACACCTCTCATTCTGCCACCCTCTCCATATGTCTCAGGATTAGACCTTTCTTGTTGGGCAGCCAGGTAAAAAAGTGAGTTTCTAACAGATGGCTCTGGGCTAGCCACGAGTTTAGTTTTCATCTAATTAATATTCCTTGCGTGTGCATGTGTTATGGAAGAATTGGAAGTAAGTGTACGGAATAAGGTACATCCAGAGACTCCAAACACTGAAAGATGTAATTACCAGGAGACTTCTACAACCTCACCCCATCCCCTCTGCTTATTTCATTCCTAGCTTAATTGTCTTCCGATCTTTTCCCAGATTGTTCAGCATGTATTTGATTTTCCCTTACAGTGAAGACCCTATCCTAGAAACATGTGCCTCCTCATCTTGTTTTGGTAAACAGAAATGTAACACAGAGATGACATCTATATATAAAAAACCACACTGATTAAATGCTATACTTCTAGATTTAGTATAAAAATAATTCGTTCATTTTCTCAATTCTCTCTTTTTTTATCCACACACAGTTCTGTCCAGACCCAAACACACCAGTAATATATGTGGATCTGCCGGCTCTGGGGAGAACAGTGAAGTCCCCACCTTTTTTAGGTCTTTTCAGGCAAAAGACTGAACACGGACAAGGACAGATTTCCCCGGCTGTGCTTTTCAAGCCTGCTCAGAGCCAGTCATTCAGGGCTCAGTTTGAGTATCTTCCTCGAATCTTTTCCTATTAAACTAGGGAATCAAGCTGTGATCCTGGTTTAGACCTAAAAAAAACCCCAGAGGTTTGCAATAGCAATAAATTGGAACTTAATTCCCATTGAGCCATTTCTTGTAGAAAGTAATTAAAATAAGCATTGACACACAAACAGCACTCCAGAGTTCTATTGTTTTACAAGTGACAGAAATCTGCATTTAGACAATGAAATAGGCTCTTCAATTTAAAGGGTCCCTTACTTAAGAAAGGGACTACAAAGGTGCATCTTGCAACCTACTTTTCCTGAAGAATGTCTGTGAGGAGGTTTCAATCACTATGACAACCTCTTTTTAATGCCAATGGTTTTCTAGCCCAGACAACTCTTTCCTGAGAAAGGGCATGTTTCAAGGCTCTGCCAAAACTGTGGTTAAAAGCCGTACTGACAAGAAGATAATCTATGAGGTTACTGTTTTGGCAAACATCAGCTTTCGAAAAAACCCAGGAATTTTGCATTATTGCTGGCCAAAAAGATTGCTGCTGTAAAGGGAAAAAACAATAGAGAGAATAAGAAAAAAACCCCAACAATCTGCCATAAGCATCACTTGTGTAAAACACTGGCGTTCTGGGGTCTAACGGTTTTGGTACCTCAGAAGTCCACAAACCTATGAAGATGCATTGTATGGGGACAGATAAGGAGAACTGCAGTATCCTCTCCAAATTTGCATTTTTTTTCAATCCACAATAAAGATCCTTTAACATTTGTCAGCCTTTATCTGCTAAATCTCTGCTACATCTCCATCAACAAAATCAAACACAACTATTTCTCACAAGTCATATTTACAGAGCATTTCTTGTGCTATATTGCCATCTCTCTCTAGAATAAGCAAATAAAGGGTTTCCCTTTCACCAGCGATTTGATGTTATTCCTTAAGAATTACCTCATGGGGAATACGATAAAAGAGACTCTTCAATATTCACAGCGCAGTTCCAACGCGGTGTCAATTCAGAGGCACATCAGCACAGCCCCATATGGGCTTTGCATCCCCGCTGGATGGTTTGCAGCCATGTGGCCGTCCGGTTTTCCCTTTCAGTGAGGATTTGCACCCACCCAGGTTCCAGCAAGCTCATTTTCTGCTCTGATTTCTGACCCATTACTACTTTCATGGGGAAACAAATCAACACAGGTTATGTGGCACAGCTAACACAGCTCATAGTAAATCAGTGGCAGATGCTGGAGTGCAAAATGAGGATTTTGGAGCCTCACCCTGTACAAACGGTCTTGCTACCCAGAGCTCAAGGGCAGCCTGCTGCAGGGGTGGCAGATCGTCATGGGAAGAAACAGGCAGAGAACAGTTTTGCAATCGTAGCCGGCACAAAAGCCCTAGCAGCTGTTGCTATTGAATGTGAGGGATGGAAAGGCTATACACACACTCAACCAACCGCCTGCGTTGGCAGCCGTAACAGCATGTTGCAAGAATTGTTCGCTTTTACCGCAGTGTTCTTCACGCGTGTAGGTATGCACACAAGAAAGAGGGTTTCAATGTTATACAATAACAATACAGTGGTATAAAATATACAATAATTAAAAGAAAGGAGGTAATTTTATGTAAGACATGCCTGAGTAGAATGTACTCCTGCAGGGTAGCCTTTGACTTGCTAAGAGTACAACTACTGTACTGAGCCTTCTCCCCTAGAAGCAGCATGTACATTGTAAAAAAAAAAAAAAGAGAGAGAGAGAGAGAGAGATGTTACAATAAAAAAACACAACAAATAAAGGGGTTGGGGAAACACCTTTGGTTCTGGAAGAATTCACATAAACCTGCATACCCGTGCCTGTGACTCTCACTAGGATCTGTTGCTTCAGAAAGCGATTGAAAGGGTCAAACTAATACAAGATCTTGTCTCATGCTACTCACTATTTATGGGTTAAAATATCAGAAGAATAGTGGATCTCTCAATATTTTGACCTCAAAAATAGTTGCAGTGATATACTGGTCACATACAGACACACAGTAAACATGAAAAATGTTGCAATATAAGGATATTTATAGACCTCTCGGAGTATATGAACCACCAAATAACTGGTAATACTTGTGTCTCTGCCATGCTATCATCAGAGAAAAACTAAGCTCTGAAATGTTCAGCCAAGGGATCTGAGGAATTTTTCTAGAAAACATTTATGAATACTTATACATTTGGCTAATGAAAAAAAGCTTTGTCAGAAAAATTACATCAGTAAAGGGACCGGCAGCCAGATCCCACTTTGAGACACATCACCCAGTTAAGGCTGTATGTCCACAGCCTCCCCAGACCGAGCAAAAAGGCCCTTTAGTGAGGACCTCTGGGAGCAGGCAGGACTTGCCGACGGGGCAGGACTGGCGATGCTGCTCTGCTGAATTACGAGAGTGACAAATTCCTTTCCAGAAATGCAGCCTCTTGCTCCGAGGGCAGCAGAGCTATGCGAGCATACATTTAGCCCTGGGCTATCTATAGCTTCTGTACATAGATGACATTGTCTCTCAGCTAAGACAAAGGCTGGTCCTTGTCTAGTCCTTCAGAACAGATGCTGGCCAAGCTGGGAGTAGCTTAACAGTGACAAACTCATGCATCTATCAAAGTCAACGGAGGCACAGGTGCAGAAAGTCAGGCACAGCCCCACCGATCTGCTGACAGTGATGGAAAAAAATCAGCCCAGAAGGCAACACCTCCCAATCTAAAGCTGAAGACACAGGTCAATCAATCCAGAAAAGAGGAGAAAAGGCAAGAGAAGCCAAAAGTCATGAATTTTGTTGGCCACAGTGCCACCAACCAAGTTATTTCAACAAAATGTGTTCATGTTCAGAGATTTGTGTATGGATACTCCACCCACAGGGC